GGCACACTGATGGTTTCCTACCGTACCACCGGTTCCATGCCGGGGATCTGTGTCGGGAGCTCGCTGGGAACATCCCGTATTCCCGGCATCCCGGTTTCCCAATAAGGTCCCGGTACCGGCCGGATTCCGGCATTGGGCCCGGCCGATGTCGCCCCTTGGGGCGTTTCCGGTACTGGCCGGTATCGCTATCCCGGCAGGCCAATACCGCCCCATCCCCAACCCGGCGTGTTGTGCTACTTGGGTAAGTGTAGGCTTTGAAAAAGGACCCTACTTTGGGGAGTTGTTTCTTCTTTCACAGTGCAATGATGCAACATGTTTTTAATAGAAATGAATGCCGAAATAGAGTATAACAGGGTACCCAAATTTAAAAAAAATCGAAGGTGGTGTTTTTTTTTTATTCGCATTGGAATATTTCTTTGTTTGATTTTTTCCCATGTTTGCCTAAATATATTGTAACTATTGTGTCACTCAGATACTTTATTTATTTTTTCAATAATAGCCATATATTAGTAAAATAATGTCTGCAAGTTATGTAATAATGATTAAATTATTTCATGAGATACAGATTTCCAAAGTTTGCCATTTGTCGTTCGAGCAGGCATGTTTGGCAATTTTTAGAAAACTAAATAAATTTTTAATAAATAATATTACTTTATATTACAAGCAAGTTGTACCCATAGTTTGTTTGTAAAAAGTTTTAAAATTCTCCTAATTTTATTGTTTTAATTATTCACTTTCAAACTTGCCCCCGCCATCAGTGCGCGTTATTGCAACTGTCCACCTCTCCTTGCCTTACGATTTTTCTTGTCTCCAAATTTTTTTTCTGGTCAAAACTAAGTGTGGATTCGTTTATACCAGACACTAGACAATGTCATATAAAAACATCAGTTGATTTAAAAATGTCGACCAGCCACCCTTTGGTCGATCTTATCTGAAATCACCCTACAACAACTTCGTCATGCGGACACCCACATACCAGTGTCTTATAATATTGGCGACCTTGTGTTACTCAAGACACCAATTCGCCAGTCTGGAAAATGTGAAAAACTCCTACGTAAATTCACCGGTCCATATCGCGTCATACGTCGTCTTTCCGACATAAACTACGAGCTGGTTCCAATATCTCCGCCCCGCGACAACCGCTCCAGACCATAAGACATCGTACATGTCTCCCGCATCAAGCCTTACTCGCTCCAACCCTAACCACTCTACAGTACCGGATGACCGGCACTACCACCACCGGGGGGAACTGTTACGAAGACGACGACGCACATGTTTGGGAAATAGGGGCGCGCGCTGCATGTTTTGGCCACGCGAGCTGAGAGCGATTCGGCTGTTCCGCCATTGATCGCCTCTGGTCTTCCCACATCACACCATCAAATACGTATATATATATATATATATATATATATATATATATATATATATATATATAAAGGTGAACATACTGAAAACCTAGGCAATCTGAATCATCAATGATACCTTAGGTGTTTAGAGGTTAAAACAACAAACGAAAAGTTACTTTGGGGACAGGGAGTATCGCACCTGTGATGTTCGGGCATTATAGGGATAAAATACTTCAAACCACTATTCTTAAAACTGGGAGCTAAATATAAGCATCATCCTTCGACGACACGGAAGAAAGCATGAGCCACTTGTAGGTTCACGAAATGTTAGATGAAGCATATTTCGTCCTAAAAGATTCTTCTTGCTTCCAAAATAATTAAGTGTCTATATCCGCTCAGTCACTAAATCTCTCTTATAGGTTCCGCTACTTTCACTACCTCAATATTATTCAATACGAGAATTACGCGAGCCTTCAACAAAGCTCGCAAAAGATTAGGTTTGGCTTTTACCCGACCGCATGTGAAAATGTAGGATGTACTTTAAGCACACGGCATAAAAAAGAGCGTTTTCTTACCTTCGCTAAAATTTTAGATGTGCCTCTCGTTGATATGTTGAAGTTAAAAAAGTGAATGACTTCGTACTATCCGGAGTTGACGACAAGGGCTTCGAGCACTGTCTCTGAAGATAAATCAAAAGAAAACAGTCCTTTTTCTCCTTAGAGGACCATATATTTTCTTTATTTCAATCACGATGAAAGTGTTGACAGAGACATTGCAGAAATTTAATCTTGCAGTGCATTTGGCCGCCATCTAAATCTTTCAAATTGCACACATCGCGAACAGATTATTGCATAAGCTTATTTAGTGTATTACTTATGTGACTGATCGTTCTATGACGCTTGACAATCCAGGAACTTCGCAATAGTCGGCTAATTTCAGCACATATTAAAAACAAGATATTATGATTCTTAAGTTTTATCTTTGTAAGCAAAGTAACAACGAACTGATTCAATATGATGTTACGCGAAAATGGTGATGTTTGCTTCTTAAAAAGTAGCTATTACCGCACTTTGTTGGGTTTGATTATGATGTAGATTACAAAAGTTTAGTTGTCAAATGCATTCTCAATTTGGTGTTCCGACCGTGTGCGTGCCACGAAGATTTTAATTACATCTCCCATTGGTCTTTGACACATGTAACGTGAACAAGAAGCTCCCAAGGATAGAGCTGGCACTTTTTATTTATACCTCCACACATTTATTCTAAGGTTGTTGTTTTTTGTAACTAGGCAAGCTTCCAGTCCCGTACATAATGTCACCAGATAAGTTCCAGCCAACAGTGATAAAGAACCATACCTCTGTCATATGTACTCTAGCTAATAACAGCATACACATTGTTTTGTGCGACTGTGAGAACTTTGCACTTCGTCGACGAGTGACATTTTGTGAAGCAACTGGAAGGATTCACAATTTGAGAAGTTCTACGGATTTGCCAACATTTACATCAAATATATATCACGGCTATGGTGATAGCCATCATATATATTTATATATGTAACGGCTGTAGTCTGGTGTAAGAAGAAAAACACGTTTTCATAAACGATAATGAAAAAAATATTACGCGATACCCTGTAAGTTGACAAGTGAACCTTTGTTTACTTGCGCAGGCATTTTTAGAAAAGGCCGAAATGTTGAAAAATATATAATTTTATAAAATAAACTAGTATTAAAAAATTAATTGTGTACCGACCTAAAAAAAACTTTCTATTGTAGGACACTACGGTACAACCTGATGCTGCTCCTGATGTCATATAAGATTAATTTTAAATGACGTTGTTGTATAACAAATGTTTGCCCAAAACGTTTTGTACAGCTTTCTAAGATGTTTCGATGTAGTATAAATTCAGGTTTTAGTAGATGACTGGTATTTTCCAAGAATCCACTTCCGCGCAAAAAAGGTCAATTTTAGACTACAATTAGGCTACATGGAAAACTACAATTTTAATTGTAGTTCTCCATGTTTTCAAACGTATTTTCGTCAACCAGAGAATAATTTTGTTGCGAACAGCTTTAAAAATGACCAAGCAAGTACCTTTATTAAATAGATACAGCAACATCTTACCATTAAGCTTGTATCTGGATTCCATGCAGCCTGATGTAGGATCATCGTTGTCACGTACATCTCTCATTGCGTTGCCAGACACGCAAACAACTGGTGACTAATAAATAAAAATTCCGTCGGTATATTTTTAATTCCAAAAGCAAGCGTATGTTTGTTGAAGTGATAGTTTCTTTAGTCCAACCTGCCAATATTTGTTTGGGATTTCTGCTAATTTATTAAAAAAAGAAATAGTATGATGTATAATCTTGAAATTGAGGCGGCCACTAATCGTTTTTGTTTTTGTCCCATTTTTTTTTTACGGTTACGTAATGTGCTGCAACAGGCTGGGTGTTCTGAGCCCGGTTTAAAATTCATTTTGCACGTGTCTAACAACTAGGAAATATCACCATTAATAATTTTAGAGAGACCTTTTTAACACAATTAAAATTTAGCAAAAGGTTCGAGTACATAACGTTATGTGGCGATTGAGGCTCTCGAGAACACGGACACCCAATGCTTTGAATTGGTTGACACTGGTACGTGGAATAAACGAATAGAGAAATAAAATAATTTACCAGTGCTCTGTGTAGGAAATCGCCAACTAATAATTAAGCTGGCGACGTTTTTGAAAAAAAAAAAAAGAAACGTCAGCGAAATATATTAATTTCAAGTAATGCACCGGCAGACACTTTATAAAATATTGACGATTCTGTGTATTCAATTTCAGTCAAGCTTTAGCTTAAACCTGTGTGGTGACAACAATTGATGGTATTTAAACATTGGTTCCTTAATGTTCGCACAAAGATGCGGAGATCGTAGACCTGTCTCACCGCTAATAAACAGTGCGAGAAATCGGAGTCGCTTTTCGCTAAATCATCGTGCACAGTTCCCTTATTTTTACAACAATCCATACTCTGCTTTGTCAACTTCTAAAGTTCAGAGGTGGTCGGTTTGTCCCAAGCCATTCCCCTTCTTAAAAGCGAATGAGCTCTGGGTTGGCGGTGAAAATGCTCTCAGATGATGTTAAAGGGGTATTCACACGAGGGAGAAATCCCGGGGATTTCTCCCCGGCACGCGCATCCCAGGACGAAAACGTCAGGCTTTGCGATGTGCTAAAGCCTCGCGTTTTCATCTCGTGATGCGTGCGTGCCGGGGAGAAATCCCCGGAATTTCTCCCTCGTGTGAATACCCCTTAATATGCGATCAACTCTTGAGGCAAAATATTTCCAGCTTAGTTCTAGAAACGGTATTAGTTCAACATGCCCTTCGTGCGTACTCAGATCGAGGGGTTAACATTTTTTTTTCTCCGAAGTCGAGTCGGTTCAACTGGTTCCCAACCCCACTTAATAAGACAGCCGAATTGACTGACATTGATGGTTGGTCACAGTTCTTCACAACCCCTTTGCGGTCATGATTGTCCAGACGTGGTTATCGAGATCACTGAGCGCAGGCTAATTCGACGTTTCCATCAACAAGGGGGCAGTGGCGTGGTCCAGTCATTCCTCTGGGGATCATTGTACACGGTCCGTGAAAGCCACGACAAAGGGCTTAGCCTTAGAGGCACGTCTCTTTCTGGATAACCCCTTCGAGAAGGTTATCTTCGCTCGTGTCGGCTAGTGCACCGCCGTCCGAGTCGGCATCGTGGCACTCCCAGCGGATCGCATAGCCTCCGTTGAGTTTTCGCTGGCTGCCTCTCTTGTCCTCGGGCGTCCGCTTGGCTGGGTCCTGGTACTCCGGAATGGACATCCTCTTGACCGCACCCAGCGACTCCTGGTCGGCGTTGCTCAGCAGCCGCTGGCTCATCCTACTCTTGATTGAGTTTGGAGACGGGCTCTTGGCTACGCCTTCTCTCCTATCAACTGTGTACAAAACAAACGAAAATAGGAAGGGAAAGAGTGTTAGGCAGAAGATATAGGAGTGGAACTGCAACCTATTGCCGTGAACGAGAGTGTCGATGGGAGAGTGTGAATAATTGAAAGGGAACCCCCATGCAGCAAAACTAAGGACAGCCGCTCTCATTGGGTGTGCTCCCTTAATTAGCGCTCAAACGATGCCAATTTTCAGTGAAGAATACCGATTGAAGTTCGTACAGTCCATATTAGAGTGCATGAATGGTGTTTCAAATTGAAGAGCGCTGTTTTATCTCTAGCGTCAACACTGCCAAGAGAACCGGAATATATCGGGGATTTTTCTTTCACCACGAAGGCTGTGATTTACGCGGAGCTTTTCGATTCGTACCGTTGATGGCACATTCCTAGTGCAGACCAAACATAAAGAGAACACGCCAATCATGTCTCATCTTCTGGGAGCACAGTCCTGTTGGCAGCAAAAACGCTACGTCCCAACGTAGAGTTCAGTGCAACAGCCCGCGCACGGCAAGCACTTGTTCGTGATCAAAATTACGGCTGGACAGTGAACATCGCATTTTCGACAGCCGCCTATGCATTGTAGTGCGAATGGGTAGCGACAAGCGTGAACACCTAGGCAAGAAAAATGGGTACGGTATCCCCACTTTAGCCGCGATTCCGACACTAAGCAAGCGTCTTCCTCTGCACCGGCTGTTTCATTAAGCTCCTCGACATTCTGGAGCAGATCTTCGGCTGCCTCTAGGATAGCGGTCTTGTTAAACAAAACATCGTTCTCGTGCTCAATAAATTCTTGGTGAGCAATGAACATTATTTTTAATGCATATCATGCGATTAGCTTGATATGCATTATTTTCGTGTATATTGTGCACCTTTTAGTAAAGCTTTGAAGTACTTTAATTTTACAAACATATTTAGATATGTATCCGTAACCAGTTCAAAGCCACACCACAAACGAATGAACCATAGGTATGACCAAATTGGCTGGCAATCATTTTTAATCTTGATTATTTAAGCACAGTCATATTGATGAAGTTTGTTTCCTAAATGGCCATGCGTGTTGAAAACTAGAAAGGTTTTAGCGCAAAAAATCGCCTTCATCAATATTTAAAACACGTGTTATTTGACTACTTACTATTTATTCTAGGTTTTACAAATGCAAAAACAAAACCTCTGCGTAAGTAGGTGTAACATGGGTTTACCAATGAATCCAAGAAGCACAACATGTGGAACTAACGAGAATTGCTACATCATGCAGACAACTCGATTACTTTCGATAAGGGGTGCATATTGATTAGTAGAAGGCATAAAAACGGCAGCGGGGGCTTCTGAGATCACTGTGAAAATATGAAGATATTTCTTGGTGTTATCAGGCTAATATTAGGGATGCTGTTCGGTAATAGTTTGTTCCTTAATCCTCCTACCGAGAAGCGCTTCTTAATTTAATTTTATGAAGAATTTTGAAGGTTTACAACTGTCCTCATCACCATTATCATCATCTTCAGTTTATTTTATATTCTCATCACAGCGAAATTTCCCTGATTATATTTGACTAAGACAGAATGAGATATATGTTGATGTTCATTCAATATTATCTTTATACTAAATTCTTTTTCAGTTATGAAACTGGTATAACCGTTTAATTAACCCATTGGCGGTCTAGCTATTTTTTTCTCAAAAAGTTGTTTCCCATTGTCATGTTTTGTTTTCAAACAATAGTATAAAGGAAGCGAAAATGCACCCGTGATTAATAATAATTTAGCGGGAACATATAGAATGCTTGCGCCCTCTTTAGGTTTAGAAGGATCAAATTAATATATTGAAGGCCCAAAGTTGTCACCCTATATTCTTTCATTTGATGTTATTTTGGTGCATCCCCTTCAGCGAATTTCCAGAGGTTTGGTATTTCTAACTGGAGGTACACTTTACAGAGCTTCTCCGTTGAATGATGAATCCTCAGCCCCTGACTTTAATTCCTAAACGCGTTAGAAGTCTGCATCGAAAGAGCCAGTGCTTCCATTGTTTCTACCGCCGAAGTGGCCGGTATTTGAAGTGATCATCACTGCACGTAGGGTCTAATATAGAAAAACATAAATATCTCAGCAAAGCGACACACCGCGTGAATATAATGTTTATAGATCACCGAAGACGTAACAGGTAGCCACACCTCTGTCGGTTTGCTCAGTTTTGCGGTTAGCTGGGCTCATTCAAATATGTGATCGACGCTGTACATCTGTGGCCACGACCGTCAAATGGTTACCAAAAGAAAATAGCAGCAAAACTCAATGACATGTAAAAACAGTATACACAAAATAACTTACACAAAACGCACAACAAATATCTTGTTAGAATACATAATAAATAGTCAAGCATAAGTCGAAGATCCTTTAAACACCTGCATTGACGATATTGATACCGGTTCTGCGGAACGTCTTAAAACAATGCTCAGTGCGATACATTAGACTGGTTAGCTTTATTTTTTATCTGAAAAACGGAAAGTAACCCTCAATATTACTCACGGTACGGAGATACAGTCGACGAAAGCGAGGCGTCTCTTAGCACAGGGTTGAGCTCACGGCCTTCGAGATATTCTTTACCTCGGAACAAAAAGATCCGCTGCTTAGTACATCTGGCAAAAATGCCGTTGGGTAGACAATAGTCTCCAGAAATAAGGGATAAGATTTGTAAAGGACGAGGCTCATAATTCACAGCCTAGAGTTGCCCACAGTAGAGCCTGCGGCACCTAAGAACCTCCCTTTTGTCAGTACAATTCTCACATTAAAAAAAAACCGTTATCAACTATCCTTCACCACTGAAATCTACGCGATCTCGAGCTCCCCGAAATATTGGCCATCGGTTCGCTTGTAGAAGTTGCGCCCCTTGAAGGTTCGCTTGCAAGGCGCACGTTCGTACATCCGCAAATGTCGCTCGAGGTTGACTGGGAATCAAAATTTCTGCAAAGAAATTAAAAAAAAAAAATCACCAAGTACGAAACTATCTCATTTTATAAAGTCCTGCATGCACGTCCAGACATCGATGCCTTCGTTTTGGCAGCTCCCTGATTACCTTGCCGTAGAAAGAACTGGAATGAATGAGAGCAGGCGAACGAACCTGTATGTGCCATTTATTTTTCAGCAGCAGTCGTCTCTCACCAAACTGCTTACAACATTCGCACGTTTTTTTACCGTGATAGAGCCTTTCTATAATGCTTCATCAAACTTCCAGCTGGTTACATTTAGCCTTCCTCCTAAATATTAGTATGCACCACAGTTCCACAGGTACAGACACAATTCTCGCCGCCAAGATAGCTGGAAACATGGCATGTGCTTCAAATATGCCTTTCAAGTTGCAGGATATTCAAGAATTGCATTAACGGTCTCCGTAAGATTGATTATACTGCACTTATTCAGATTTCCTATAAACAAAAGTCCCGGTGAGCATTTGTAGATTCTTTAACTATGCTCCCCTCTCCTCATATAGTTCTCTTTTGGTTTGTCGTTCTTAAGAAGGTCTTAATCGCCACTAAAGTTTGTGTGTAAGATGATGCTTATGCGTGTCTCATATTTCGGTTATTTTCTGTGCTACTTGACAGTATAATTGTCTCAAATGAAGAACAGCGCATGGTGCATAATTGTACGCTGCCGAGAGGAAGAAAGACGCCCCAGGGCTCGGTCCTTTCACCGTATTTCTTCAACGTCACCATGATCGGACTTCCAGAGAAGCTAGAAGCGACCGGCGGATTACGCCACAGCATTTACGCTGACGATATCACGCTCTGGGTGACCGGCTGCAGCGACGGTTTTATACAAGACATGCTGCAAGAAGCGATTCGGGCGGTGGAAAGTTACGTCGAGCCAAGGCGCCTTGCCTTCTCCCCGCAGAAATCCGAACTCCTCCTCCTCAAGCCGGTCCGTGCCCGCCAGCTACCATCGGACATCGAGCTGTACGCCCAGGGTAACAGAATCCCCACGGTCAGGAGCATATGAGTCCTAGGCCTTAGGATACAAGCCGACGGAAAGAACTCCGAAACTATAGCGTCGCTAAAAGCAACTGCGTACCAAATTAAGCGCCTCATCTCCCGAATCGCCGGTAGAAACTATGACATGAAGGAGAAGAACCTGGTGCGTCTGGTACACGCTTTCGTCGTCAGTAGGCTGGCGTACGTCCTCCCTTTCCTAAGACTCGGCCTCATGGAAACGAACAAACTCAACTGTCTCATCAGAAAGTCCTACAAGAGAGCACCCGGACACCACCTCGAACGAGAAGCTCGCGGCTTTAGGTCAGGAGAACACGGTAGAGGAGATCATAGAAGCTCAGCGTGTTTCGCAGCTGGAGAGGCTGACGAAGAGTGCCACGGGCCAGCCTTGGAATCCGCTACGAGAGGCAAACGGGGGAGAAGGCCGACGTCCCTAGGTGGGTCAGGGAAGCCCTCGTCATACCAAACATTCCAAAGCACATGCACCCGACGCATCACGCGGAACGCAGAGCGGCGCGAGTCAAGGCGCTGCAGAAACGGCTAAGCATCGCGGAGGGTGTCCTCTATATGGACGATGCTAGAGCCGGCGGGGGTGCCATGGTTGCAACAGCGGTCAACCAACAAGGAGAAGTGATCTCGAGCTGCAGTATAAAGACGTCGGAACCGGAAGTCGCGGAGGAGGTGGCCATCGCCCTCGCGATCCGAGTCCGGGGGGCACGCATCGTCGTCAGCGACTCGCAGCAAGCCATCCGGCAGTTCGCCTAAGGAAGAATTTCTACAGCCGGGCTCAAGGTCCTGGGCGACCCCGAGAAGACATCAACAAAACTACAGCTCATCTGGACACCGGCGCACTCGTCGCTCTCCGACAACGAGAAGGCACACGGCGCGGCCCGAGAACTCGCTCACCGGGCCGGGGAACCGCTGGACCCTTCCCTGGCTTTTTTTTCGGGGGGTGACAAGCTGGTCACATTCAGGGACATTCTCGATCACTAAACTGGCGAGAGGTTACGCTATCCAC